TGTTGTTGTTGTTGTTGTTGTTGTTGTTGTTGTTGTTGTTGTTGTTGCTGCTGCTGCTGCTGCTGCTGCTGTTGATGTTGTTGTTGCATTATTTCATAAGGTCTAGCATTTTGTTGGGTCAATGCTTGTTGAGTAATCGGACTTTTAATACCAGGAACACCAAATTGGGAAGTGTTTATGCTATTATTAACTGTACCAGTAGTAGGTCGTTGTTGAATTAATAAACGAAACCGAGGATCTAATAGCTAAAAAATTTGAAAAAAAATATTATTTAAAATCAATATATACATAGATAAATAATATTATTTTACTTGAAATTTTGGATCTTGAACTCTATGTCGAATAACCATTTGAGCATTTGGAGCACCCATTTGTTGAAATGGCATTCGTTGAGCTTTAACTGCACTAGGTGGTAAGGGCTGACGAAAAGTGGGTCCAGAAGAAGTTTCAAAATCTTGACTTTGTACTGCATTTTGAGTATTGATTTCTTGATTAGACGTATCATCTGAATTCCATGCACGCTGATCAGCAGTTGTTTCTTTTTTAAATTGCTGTTTTTGAAGTAATTCCCTTAGATGTCTGGTCATTTCTTGATTAGCTTGAGGTGATGAAAAAACATCTTCACGGCCTCTGGGAGATGAGGGATTAAAATGAGTATTTCTTTGTTGTTGAACTACCGAAGTAGTAGATATTGGCGGACTAAACAAGTCTGTTGACCCAGGTGTTAATTGCGAACGTGTATATTGAGGAGATGGTGATGCTGATGCTGGACTTACAACTCTAGTTACTTTTAATACAGGAGAAGGATATGGTGATCTAGATTGTTGTTGAGAATTCACACTACTAGGGCTTTGTAGAGGAGTCAAAGAACCATCCTAAGAAATTATAAATAGTTATTGACATGTTAATACAATGCTTTATACACAACATTTATCGGCAAATACCTGATTAGTAGAAACTTGTAACTGAGTAGTTAAATTTGATGTATGAACTAACACTTGTTGGTCTGAATTAGTAAACTGATTTGTGTCAATAGTAAGATTTCTTTGGTGAGCTGGTACTCTTTGATATACTTAATAATAATAAGACATTTTTATTAACTCGTTAATTAACAAAACAATAAAACTCAAGTTAACTAAACAATATACCTTGACTACGTTGATCTTGCATTACTTGTTGCTGTTGAGCTGCTTGTGCCTGTTGTTGTCGCATTGCTTGTAATTGTTTCCATTGACGTTCATTTTCTGCTTCACGAGATCTTTGTTGAGAAATCATTTTATCTTGATCCTATTACCATAAAATAAATATTAATAGTGTTCCTAAACTTCTTTATTAAAATTAAAACACAATAAGTTTGAAAATATGAAGAAACAAATATTGGTAAAAAAAAAAGCTTTTCCGATTATTAATTTAATTAATTATTTTTTTATTATTAATGCATTTGACAAAACAAAAAAACTAAAAGATAATAAACAAATTCAATTTTATTTATTCATTTAGAAGAACATTCACCAAAGTCCCATTTATAAGGCCTACATATTTTGCTTGTCTATTTATTATATTTTGTATAGTATCCTATAAAAACATCCACTATCTATGATGTGTTAAACAATACATTATTTTCAATAGTACAAATGTAATATTATCCACACACCAAATAATTTAATTAACTACTTATAAAACTCAAAACAAGCTTTATATTCTACAAAATATATCACAACATGCCAATTTTGTTAACTATTTCTACAGCATTTAAAATATCAAATATAAAATAAATGTGTTAGAAAATGTATGACAATTACACAAGTTACAATTACATTTAAATTTATATTTAATTGTAATATTAGACAGTAAATTTATTTAGGATACTTAAAGAAGTCACATAATATTTAACTCTATATCAAACATGATAATTTGACATTTATATTAAATTTCTATTAATGTTAATTATGAATTTATCTTGTAAGAGCATAATTAAATATATTCTTTAAATATAATATAATGATAGTATTTTGCAATAATTTTATTAAATCATTAATTTAATATATATTCAAAAACCCTATTCAAAACATAAAATCAATAACAAATCAAACAATTTAGATTGAGTTCAAATAAAAACATTAAAAAACAAAAAACAAAATAATTCAATGCTGTATTTGACCTACACTTTCAAAACACATTATTAATTTAAAATTACTATAATTTAAATCCATTACCAATAATGTTAAACAATAATAATTGTTTAAGTATTACAATAATAATCAAAAATGTTACTAAAAATACCTAATGCAATTAAACCAATAACAGCATTTTAAAATCTCAACACATAATGAGATAATAAAAACAACAAAAGTTGTTAAATATTAAATACTAAAATAATTTACGGGTTTAGAAGCATGTATGACAGTAGCTGGGATTATACTAAAAAATATAAATAAAATGTAAGATAATTTAAAAAATAAAAGAAGAGACAAAATGAACAGACAAAATATCCAAAGAAAATAATTTCCCAGAACGTGCAAGAGAACGCTCACCACAGGGTCATAAGTCTCTTGACCAAGGGACGGGAGTGTGCGCATTATCTCAGACGGTGTTAGTACGCGTATTTGTTGGTCAGACAGCGGAGGTGAAGTGCTGACTGAATTGTTAGTACTGCTAGCAGTTATGTTAGTTTTAGCGCCCTCAGTGCCAGCTGATGATGATTCATTTCTTACCAACTGAACATTACGTATAGTACCAGTTGGCTGCGATGTTATTATATGTAATAGGTTGTTACGTGAATCTGTTTGATTTTTAGTATCTATAGTAGCTAATATAGAATTGGACATTATTAATGAAGGAACTGTTTGTATTATATGAATACTATTAGGTGGATAATGTAAAGTCCCTCTTTCAGATGACCCTGATGCTACATATTGATATTGAATAGGTTCAGATGAATTTTTTTCTGCGGGAATGATGTGAATGGTGCGCAAATTAACAGGATTAGGCGATGGAGGATTTGGTAGCACTGGTATATATTGTATTGTTGATGGATGAGTAGGGATAGTTGTAGGAAATGTTTGCTGGGGTGGGTTGGATTCTGGTTCAGGATCAGAAGGCTGAGGCGATTGCGAGTTAGTATGACCATCACCAGCGGCAATAAGTATTGCAGGTTGCATCAGTTCTTTGGTGGGACACACCTCTCCATTGTTAATCGTCGGACTCTGGGTAGCACTAGATGTTGAACTGGTCCGGTTGTCGCCACTGGTACTGTCATCCTTCACGGCCTGTTTGTGTTGTTATAGAATGGATGCCATTAAAGAAACAAATCCCAAAAGCAATACAATGAGAACATATAAACTATAGATGCTAATACTTTTAACAATGTCTATTCGCTGTCAATTTTTATTGAAGGATTAATAATCAAAAAATGAGTTTTTTTAATAATTTATTTTTAATCTTATTTTTATTGAAAAAAAAATGTATGTTACTAATTTAAATGTACTTATAGATTGAAAAATAATTATATAAGTAGAAATGGAAAAATACTGTTCAAAAAAACTCTTAAATATATATTAATTCAAATATGAAATGAAAATAGAAAAATGCTATATTTAAATATCAAGAAATCAATGAAGAAAATGGGACGGTTGATAAAAAAATTGCAAAATAATAATGCTATGGGTTATCTATTTAAAAAAAATGTTACAATGTAAAAATTTACCAAACAAACAATAGTATTATTACTTAGACTTAATTCATCAAAATCAATGAAAATATGCATTTAGAACTAAAAAATATACAAAATACAATTTATTTAGTATGAACAATTGTTGAGTTATCCAAGTTATCAAATATAAGTTAAATTATCAGACAATCCTAGCTTATAACAAAAAAAATATATTATATGTACTATAGTTCAAATTTTATTAAGAAAAATACTTGCATTCATTTTAACTCAAAACTCAAAATCAATAAAATTTCATGAATAAGTATAAAAATGTTCTAGTTAACATGTAACACATATCTATATTTGTTTAAAAAAAAATAATTTAAAACATTTAATAAGTAGTATGTAGGAAACAATCTATGTGCATAATCATAAAAATAAGTGGCAACTTAAATAGGACTTAAAAACAGTACGGAATAATTCCAAAATCGATAATTCTATTTCTTAAATAATTTTGGATTTATGTGAATTATTTAAATCTAAAATTGCAGTGTAAAAATTACTAGTGCTTAAAAATTAATCAACAACTAGACATAACCAATAAAATAAAACCAATATTGTTTTAAATTGTCTGTTTCAATAAATCCTAAAAATGTGCAAAACGCTGTAATTTGTGATTAGCCTTAAAAACATGAGTAATATAAGATGATTTGTTGTATTTTATAGTAACCAAAAGCGCTTTGGTCAAGTCACACAAGCACACACAAATAATTTTTAACTTAAGCCCCAATAAAAAAAGCTTCACTTTAAATATAGGAACTTTAAAAAAATAACATTATTTCTTAATTTAAAGTACACGCTTATTTTTTCCACCTATTATAAGTTTTAAGCTCCCAATTTGAATACTTTAATGAATCCATGATTTTCATATACCATAATGATATGCTGATTAATATAAATAAGTTCTCTAAAAAAAAATTTTACATAATGTTTTAAGCTTACCTGCTGTGCTTTCTTTTGTCTCAAATTAGTTCTATTTTCTCTTGCTTTTAATAAAAAGGGACTTTTCTGTTCTGGAGATAACGTTCTCCATTTTTTTAATATTTGTCTCGATCTTTCAGGCCAGGCTATAGTTTTTAAAAAATTATAACATATATAAATAAAATATTACTATAAACATTAATATATAACATACAAGGGAATTCTGTTTTCCACTCAGGATGCGTAAGATTAGCATATAATACAGCTGATATAGAAGCTTTGGATCCTAGTGCTTCATCTGCTTCCATTTTTTGGGAATTTCTTTGATTATTATTTAAAGCTGAAGACTGAGATCCAACACCTTCTAAACTATCTTCACCACCACTTTGAACCCAAGGACTATGAGGTTCAGAAAATGCTGGACTAAATTGGGATGGACTACTATAAAATTAAAAAAATGGACAATTAAGTTAAATATGTTTAAATAAGAATTTTCAAATATATAATACATTTATTTTATATCAGAAATAAAATAATTACTTACTTGCTATACTCTGAATGATATGGCGACATTGCTGGATAAATAGGAGAAGGCATATTGGTAACTACAGGTGGCAATGCTGGCGCTGGTACTTTTCCTCGAGACATATTAGTTGGTAAACCTAAAACATATTTGAATTATAAACTAAAATTTAAAAGTTAAACTAAAAATCATTTACTTGTACGAGATGGAGACATAATTGGTGTACGATTCTGATTTTGAGCCATAACAATTCCATTTTGGGCTTGAGGGATGGTACCAATATTACTATCACCCATTATCAACATATTAGAATTATTTGGATCTTGTGAATCTTGTGAAGCATCATCAGTTAAAACTACTTTAAATATCTCTTCAACATCTTTACTATCCATATTAGGTAAACCTTAAAATGAAAAACATTTTATTAAGTGAATTTAATTTATAACAAATATATTTCACTATTTAATTAATAAAAAATAAATTAAAAATGAGATATGTACATATTTAAAAAAACCATTTAAAAATTTATTTCTCAATAAATACAAGTCAATCATAATTAATTTTGAAAAAAAAAAGCCAAGGGATTGTTTGGTGTATATGAATTAGGGATGAGGCATGGAATTTAATTTTTTGAATATCCAGATATCTTAATACGGATTTATGGATTAGCTTTTTATGTGACTTATAATTATTTTAAATTTTTAGTAAACTTAATTTTATTTTATTGTAGTGAAAATTTAATAACCAATTAATATCATGTTTTATAAATTGTAGTATAATTATCATAACTTCAACAGTTTTTATAATTCATTTTTAATTACTAAAACATTAAGTTATTAAATTGTTGAGTTAAGATGAGTTAGAATGTGTCTCAAATATGTAGAGATGGGCAAAATATATCAACTTTTTAAAAACATTGATGTTTTTATTGCGATGTGTTGAAAAAAAAATTGATTTTTTTCTAATCTGAAGTCCAATGTTTAAATAACATATTTATTTAAACATTTTACAATTTATATTTAACATATATACATATAACATAGATACAATTTTTCTTAAAACTTATTAAGGTAAACTTCGATTTTTTAAACATCAATGTTTTTATCGAAAATATCGATCACCAACATCAATGTTTCAAATGTAGATACATCGATACATCGGAACATCAATGTTTCAAACTTTTTACCCATCTCTACAAATATTGTTATAGAATTAAATTTAAGGGAATATAAAAATGAGTCATTGAACAGCAAAATTGAGTTGGATAATTTATGAAATTCTGATGATTCAGAATTTTAAAATCCGAATATGCCTACCACTAATATGAAAACTAATATTAAATATTTTTTAAACTTCATTTTATTCAAATAACTATTGATATTACTACAGTTCTAAGAAATTTCAAAATATTAATATACCTGTCTCCCTGACCATAGAATCAAGGTTAAAATGGGATCCTAATATTTCACTAAATTCATCTTTTTGAGCTGAAGAACTAGTGGTTTCACTTGTATCAGGTTCTTCGACAACTAAACCAGCATCTAAATCAATTGGTGTAATAAATTAAAATACTTAATTTTAAATTTAATTATTTGAAAACCATAATATACATACCTTCCATCTCTGTCTTAATATTACTACTACTTTGTTCATTCATAATGGAATCTAATAAATTATCAGACAATAAAATATCTTTAAGGGTATCATTTTCATTTGAAGAAGAAATATCTTTTTTCTGAAAACAAAAATTTAATTTGAAGACCAATTTGAGTCATATATAACATTTTCAAATATTAAAACCAAAAATTATAAGTAAATTAATTTATAACCAAGGAGCAGTGTGGTGCATTGTGGTTCAAACCAGACTTAATGCAAAAAACATTCTACAGAATTAATTCCCTAGGTTCTTTCTCTCTCCTTCCAACGTTCTGCTTATTCTACACAGCTTCCTACCGAATCAAATTCACTGGGAGTAAAGTCCACACACATAATATTCTCTATTTAAAGAAAGAGGAACAAGTAATACTTCACTTTACTCTCTAAATGAAAGGGACATTGAAACAAAAACCTCGGTCATTTCAATGAGAAATTTAAAAAAATAAAAAATTTTGAACAGATTAAGATTTGAAAAAAAAAAATATCAAGTGACTATTAATGCCACATAAAAGCCAAAATTATAATCTCTGAAAATTGCTAAATTAACATTTAATGAACATTTTAAATCTTTACAATAATTATTTTTTAAGTATTGATGAAAAAAAATGCAATTCTGAAAACTGTTGTCCTATAATAGTTTACGGTTATTTATTGTAACTTTTTGTTAGTTATTTTGTCAGATTTCCTTAAATATTAGAAGATAATATTATTATATTAAGAAAATTTTACAGAAATTAAAAAATGTAATTCCTAACACATTAGTTTGACAACATTAATTATCAGAAAAAAAGTTAATAAATGAGACAATAATGGTTAAAATCTCAAAACAAAAAAAATAACACATCATGGTAAAACATTCCACATTTTACCCACAACTTACAACAGGCATTTTCCATTATTATATATTTTAAATAAATATTTGAATTAGTGTTAGTATGTGCTATATAATGTACAGATCAAGAGTGAAAAATCTTTTCCTAACATTGTGTACACTATTTTAATCAATTAATGCTTGAATCTATGTACTACTACTATTATTTATTGGTTATTTTCCTAAATCTTAATTATTTATAAATTACCTTTTCAATAATTTTTGGTTGTTCATTTGCTTCACTTATTTCTTCTTTAATATTTAAACATTTTTTGATTACTTCTTCTTTGGCTTGTTGTTTAGCTTTAACCTCATCCATAATTTTTAATTCAGCCTAATAAAAACAAATTAGTGTATTATTCAGATTTTATAAATTAAGAATATATGATTTCAAATACTTTTAAAAATACTCATCATACCTGAGAAAGTTCAATGGTTTTAATAACTCCATCTTTTTCTTCTACTTCTTCAGACTCACTACTATCTAATATCTGCGCAGCAACATTGCATGCATCCAACAAATCTCGACCAAAAAATGCATCTTGAATATAATTTGGATAATTTTCAGCAATTTTACTTTTTGGTTTTCTCCAACGATTAGGTTTTCGCCTAGGTTTATTGTCTTCACCATCAATATCATGAGTCATTTCTTCTTCTTTGTCTTTAGCTCGAGGCATACGTCCTCTAACAATAAATCCACCAATGCCTAGTTTCTGAAGATTTCTAACTCGTTTTCGACGTAAAACCATTACACCTGATTCCAATGTCAAAATACTAAAACCTTCTGGTGGTTCAGGTGGACGCCCATCATCGCGAGGAGGTACTACCATCCCTTCTTTATATATTGGTTCTGGTTCACTTGGTTCTTCCTTTATATCATCAAAATCCATTTTATAGACATCATCATGTTGCTTTATAGAATCATTAATAATATCTAAATTATAAAATATATAATTAATTATTATTATTATCACTATACCCATAAACATAAATAAATAAATTCTAACCTCTACTATTACATACAACAGATTCAATAGCTGCCATTATTGCAGCTTCTTTTTCCAACTGGACTTTTTTCAAATCTTTACGTTTTTTACGCTGATGAGATATTTCTATACCACTGGTTAGATACTTCATATGTTGAATACCCGATTCAGATAAATAAATACCATCCATACAGTATTCATTTGTTATCCTGGATCCATCTGGGCTATTATCACGTGATGAAATTTTCTGTTTGATTTTAGGACTTGAAACATAGGATAAATGAGGAGGAGCTGTTCCTCGAGGGCGACATAATAAACAAGCATATCCTTCTTCAGCACACTTTTCTGCATCATCATCGTTTTCAATCTTATCACATTTTCCATGGAGCCATCTAAAAAACCATACTAATGATGATTATCATTATAGATTTAGGAATCTTGGTAGGTAATCCAGTCATTTGATAATCAGGCTATATTAACCTATATGTACCAATATGTATTTATATATATAAATTTACTATCATAACAATAAACCGTTAGATAAAACTAAGTAATAACAGATTAAATCTGTATAAACCTATTTGATATTTTATTTTTATTCAGTTAACGTTGAAGTATTGTGTGTTTATTGTGTACCGGACGGATTAGATATTGTGTTGTATAACGTATTAAAAAGTCGCAACAAAGAAAACGAAAACATACTACTTTAACTTTAATCAAGAAACTAAAAATTTAAAATAAATTAGAAAATGGTAAAAAATTAGTAAACCTCGCTAACCAATTTGGATTAGGCTATGCTAAAATATATGATATAAGAAAAACTAGCAAAAAAATAAAATTTTTTTTCAAAAATAACAAGTTTGAAAAGTATGTGCAAAACATTTTTTAAGACATGTCCCATCAAAATATTAATTGCACCGCATGTATGTATTATTTATATGTTATAATAAAATATAATAAAATTATTCATTTTTTAATATGAATAAAAATGCGTTTTTATGTGAACTCTGGCGTTTTTGTTAATCCAACAGTAGCGTGGTCTGATATGTGCCGGATTACCGAAGATTCTAGTGTATTAAAATTAAAAATGTACCTGTCACACTGAGAGCATTTAATAATCAATTGATTATCAGTATATGATTCTTGACATGATGGACAGATACTACGAGATGCACAAGGTCCACATTCGGTATAATTATTCAACCAAGAACAATTAAACCCTGGATCATTAGAGCCACATGTCAAGCACTGAGCACACCTTTATAAACAAATTTTTAATGTTAATAACAAAACATAATGTTAAATAATATAATACAAAAAATAAAATATAAATAATTAAAATATAATATATAAAATTAACTTAATAATTTACACTTACCACTTGCATTTCCAAGTTCCTCTAGGAACATAATCAAGTTTTGGATCTGTACAATAAATATGGTATGAAATATCACATTCATCACAAAGTATAAGTCTAGACTCATCATTACGTTGTCCACACCCTTCACAAACTGTACAATCTAAACATCTCCATCCTTTTTGAAGAATAACTTTAGTTACCTAAAAAATGTTAATATTAAGAAATATATTTTTTAAAAACTTAATTCTTAGTAACAACTCACTTTAACATTAACACAAAATGGATGATAGCACTGACCACATTGTGAACATGAAATAAGACAAGCTTCTTGATCTGTACCTAAGGATCCACACATAACACATATATCTTGACCAAGTACAAATTTATCCTTAGCTGAGCATAAAACAATACGATTTTCATTATTAGGATCGATATCGTTTAAAGAATTTTTGGCACTGACATCCGACAAAGGTCTCTAAAAGAATAATTTAAAATTACATTTAATCAAAAAAATAGAATGACTTAAAAATTAAATGGTTGATTTTAGTCCTCTATAGAAACTTACTTGTAATCCAAGACCAGGTACACCAAATATGCCACGCATTCTACCTCGAGGTCTTTTTCTTGGGAACTCAACAAGTCGTTGTCCTTTTTTTTGGTACATAGGTTTTAATGCAGCAGTTAACTTCCCTAAGCCTTTAGCACGACCAGCATATCCGGAAAGCAATAGTCGTTTTTTAGCTACTTTACTTGCAGCAAATGGCTTTCCTTTACCCAAACCATAGCCACCCAATCGATTATCATCAAAATCTTTGCTATTCTATAAACAAAATACAACATTATTTGTTATAGAAATTTAAAATAGTTCAATATTTAACAGTAACCTTATATTCAGAGTCATGTTCAGGTTGAAAAACATCTATTGAGCTATTAGAATCTCCAAATTCATCATAACCATCACGACGTTGCTGTACAACATTTTTACATATTGGACACATATATTCAGATGCTGAACTTTTACTGTGGCTAGTTATGTATTCAGCTTCAGGATCACAAGCACCATGAATATATTTTCGACATGAGATGCATTGAACCATTTCTCGATGAGCAGCAGCTCGGTAAGCTCGATGACAAAGTGGACATGAAGAACCTTTATTGCGTTGTTGATAACATGAATCACAAACTGTATAATGAGCATGCCATCGAGAAGATAATCCTGCACCTGGAGTACGAGAACCACAGTCAGTGCATACACGACAACACTGAAAACAATAATCAATACAAAAGCTTAGTACCATTTTACTTAGAAAATATTTGAATTCTATTAATTTTTTGAATTTTTAAAATTTCAAACTATATTAATTCGTTAAAATAAAAATATATTTAATTACTTTGCATTTCCATCCAATTTTAGGTATTGTTGTCACTTGAGGTCTCAAACACCCAGGGTGATAGGCTTTATCACAACCTTCACATAGCATAACTTTAGTTTGTTCAGCTGGTTGCCGACAAACTTGACAAATCCGACAATTACCACATTGCCATCCAGCTCTTACTCCTTTATAAATACATAAATATTAATAAAAATAAAATAAAATTAAAATAAAAAAAGAAAAACTTATTTTAAATTTACTTAATCATACCTGGGAGTAAAGCTAAACCAATACAAACACCATGATAATGGTTACCACATACTGTACACATCATTAGATTAGAAACATCTCCAAGTGTCGAACAAATACCACAAGCAACATTAGCAGATAGTTCTAAAAATAAAATAATTTATATTAAATCATTAATAATTATTCTTTTATTAGATATTTTTAAGTTGAAAATTTTGCACTTGACTTACCCATTAAAGGAACATGATCAAGGTGAGAATTGCATATTAAAGCTGGAACACTCATCTCTTGAAATGAAGCCGAAGCAAAAATACAAGGATAGTGAAAAAATTTTAAACAATTAGTATATGTACACGGAGCACTTGCACCTAGGTGGCCACAATAAGTACACCGTCGCATTAAGCTCTCTAAAATAAGTTCAGGCACATTTTCTAATGAATCAGCAACATCACATTTTATACCCTGAGTCCAGGTAGCACAAAACTGGTGAACATAGACATAACCATTAGATTCAAATTGTTCAAATAACAAATTTAAATCGGGAACATCCAAATGACCAATAACACTAAGTTCATCCACAGGTTCAAAACTACTAGTTGAAAATTGTTGTTGTCTAAAATTAAAATATAAAAGAAAATCAACCAAAATATAAAAATGTTACTAAATTTTTTTGGCCAATAAATATCCATTTATAAAAAATAAAACTAAAACTCACTTGAATTTTGCAGCAGACTTTTGCCTTCTATATTGTACAATAGGTGTCATTTCAGCAGTTGGTGATTGTAATGGCATTGGAGTTAATTGTTTAGTTACCAATTGTTTAATGAACTCATCTAATGTTGATTTAAATTCTTTTTCCCAATCTAACCTTAAAAGAGGTCCTTGTCCAAGTTGACTTCGTTCCCCCAAATTACAAAACGCACATACCTTTCCTGGCCTAAACATTAAAATATTAATATGAAAATCAAAATAAATAATTCAACTATTTACCAAGTCTCTTGATACAATACACTTCTATCATCAATAGAAGGATCTACAGTCAATGAAGTAGGTGGGGTAATTTCATCTGTTCGAGAAACATTTGGAGATTTACCTTCAGCATCTTCCCTATAATAGATAAGAAAAAAGAAATATATTTTACTAATATATTCATATATTTAAGATTTATTTATATATAACCTTCTCCATCTTTTAATTTTTAAATTCAATTTTTTCATTTGTAAAGGACTTTCATAAGATGTTAAGGGTGCAAGAGTATTTCTGACTGGTGAACAAGATGTTGCTTCTTCAAAGTTACCTTCTAAAAATAAAAAAAATTATATATCATTGACAAATGTGTTATAACTCAATTTATGAATTAGGTGAACCGTTTTTCTATGTTTTTTATATTATTTATAAGGAAAAAAGATAATCTATAAACAATATACCTTCTGTCTTAACATTAACATCTATAGGAGTTTGATTAGAAGAGGTTTCATCTACTGATATAGAAGCTGCTTCTGTAGAAACACGTGAACCATCTTCTTCTTGATAATCTGGATCATCATCCATATCTTCATTATCATCATCATCATCATCCTCCTCCTCACCATCATCATCATCGTCGTCATCATCATCCAACATAGGAGCACCATTGTCAATATCTTCGTCTGAGCAAGGATCTTCATCTATATCCATTTCATCAGATTTATCTATAGATGACTTAGACATTTTAGTTTTGTCATTGTCCATTTTCTAAAAAAAAAAAAAATGTTAATGTAAATGTAGTTAAATTGATAAAAATGTAATTAACTAATTTTCTCTGATGAAATTACTATTGTTAATATCTGCAGTGGTATAAGCAGAAATTTGGTATAGAGAGGATATCATAAATAAAAATGTATTGTTATCTTTATTCTTTATTATTATACAAAAGAAAAAATGCAATCAAGGCGGAAATTCATCTTTCTGGCTTTTACACTAAATTCATCAATTATTTGTTTTGTAGATAATGGAATATCTCAATGTATATTCATTAACACCAATCCATTTAACCGTGACTACCCCATCATATTTCTTAAATATGTTTTTAAATATTTAAGACTAAAAAAAAAAAAGCCCATGGGGATAATCCCTCTCTGTGCATGCCACTAAATATCTGTTAATTACAAATCTAATTATTAATTAAAATGAAGTTAGAGAATATCATGTACAGTCTAATAAATGTTTCCAATAAAAATAGTTATTTATTATAAAATAATATCATAAAATTATCACAATTTTAAAATTTGAATCAATAAAATTGTTTAAATAATTACATACCAAACTAAACTTAACTAACTTAAACGTTAACTTTTTTTTTTTTTAATTTAATAATTAAGTAGTAGATAATTATGAAACACTTTTTAATTCAGTAATTATTACATATTGATGTCAAATATGTTTTTTTTAAATATTTATAGCTTAAAATAATCAAGATGATAAATGTTATTTTTCCACTTTATTTTAATAAAAATTACTAACCATTTTATTGCATTAATAATTATTGGTACCTATGTAACTATTTTAAAATGTATATGTCAAATTGCACATAAAACAGACCTGTACCATACATTGGTTCAGTAAGCTTCTTCTTGCTACTTATTACAAATATTCTATAATTTTACATTTCTAATTTAATTAAATATTAAGTATGTACCTATACAATTTGTTTACATAATATTTATGACTTATTTATTCTTTACTTAAAAAGTTTATCATTATTAATATTTTATAAAAAAAATGTATTTATCAAATAAAAATAAAATTAAAATAAATACAATGTCTTATTTTGGATTGTAGCTTTTACTAGAAAGCTGTCAGTGAACATTAAATTTACGATTTTAAAAATAATGATAGTACGGGAATTGAGAACAAGTATAAGTAAAGATATTTTACATAACTCAATGATAAGGTTAACTAATTTTATTTCATAGTAATTTTCAATGATCAATAACAAGCTGTTTCTTCTTTCATATACATCACAAATGTTTACAAACTCAATATCAAATTAATACAGTTATCATTAAATATGATTTTCTTTATGGAAGACTACTTTACAGGAGACTACTATAGAACTTGTGCAATTTAGTGGTATTATTTAAACTGTACAAGATAACTTTTATTTGTATACTTAAAACTAAATTTTATGATAATTCAATTAATTTAATAAGACCATAAATTATTTCATAAAATTTATTAGTTATGTGTATGTAGTATATATCCAACAAATCAATAGTTTCCTATCCATTCAACTTGTTTTCTAAATTTTGTTAAATCAAGAACACTATAATAATACTATAACAAATGCATGATGACATGACACCTACAGTCCACTTTATGGCTTAAATCAGGCACATTAAGCATAAGTCAATGTTTATTCAGATTATAGGAGTTTTTATTGATTCTATGGTTATCTAATAACACAAATTTCAAATAAAAACTATTCTTAGAATTCTGTTGATTTAAGTACATTTTAAATAACCTTTCAACAACTAATATTTTGAATATATAAATAAATACCATATTTTCAATAATCATCAAACGAGAAATAATATATTTCAGAACAAAGAAAAATGGATGTTATATCAGATATAATCATGAAGTATAATTTAAGAAACTCAGTTCAAAAAGTTAAAAAGCATATTTAATGAAATTTAAAATCCTAATCTAAACAAATTAACTTAACTTCTTAGTTTATACGAAATATATTAAAACATTTAATTAAAAAAATGTAATTAAATATTGATTAAAAATAGATTTTTAGATGATATTCTTATTAAATAAGATTATTTAATTTTTTAATTATAAAACACGCCACACTTATCAATCTAATCACTTACCATCAAAAGCATATTAATCTCATAGAAGTGTACAAAAAATGTATATAAGTTTACAAATATGACAGTTAAAAAAACACTTGTGGCTACAATCAAAATTATTTATCAATTGCTTAATTTTATACACATAAAACTCGGAAACTCTTAAATACCTTACAAAAATAAATTTTTATCGTCTGACCAGGAAAAGCGAGTCTTAAGCTGTTTAGGAGGTAATCCGCATTATTTACTGAAAGTGTCTACCAGTCATCAAACTAAAAACAAATAAATTGTATTGTCAGTCAGTTGGGTTCTATCATATTCAGTCTATCAAATGACAAGTTTAATATTCGTACGATATAAGCAGACTGTGAGAACAGTAAGCAATGGGGACGACGAGCCGAATATTAACACGGCTCACGGGACGTTAATTTGCACGGTCACCGGCGTTATATGTAATATAAATGATAAAAATATACCGTACGCAAATAAATTCAAAATCCAGCAGAGACATTACTTACGAAGTCTTAGATCGGTGACTGTGGTCGGTCCAAAACACATAATAATACACCAAAGATCGGGTTGCCACCGGGAAGCAGGGAGGGGGCGCGACGCTATTCGTTTCGCGGAGCTTTTGCCGAGAGTTCCTCACATGGCGACGAATGGGCGCGAAACGACGGGGGCACAAGAACGGTCGGTATTATCGAGTTCGAAGAATTGTCGTCGTCGTCAGCGTCGGCGGCGGTCGTATAACGCGGCAAGCGCAAACAACGACGCGAATACAAAAACCAATGAAAAGTAATACGGGGAAGAGGAAAACATTTTTACATTATCGGATAATCAAAACAAATCGACAACAGCCTGGTACCACCGCGGGCCAACGCCAGGCTTGCCAATATATCATCATTGCGGCGTATCGCACGCCTCCCACTCTTTGGAGGTATAATGGAAAATCAACATAAAACGAGAATAAATCGACTGAAAGTTTTTCCGTTGCCCATTTAAAAAATAATTGTAGTAAAATACGATTGTAGTATTACTCTAATACTACGAAATTTCTCAAATAGTTGTTTTTAATAAATCACAAATCTGTTTCTACCTACGGACAAGAAACCATTGATTAAATATACAATATTAATAATATAATATAATAAGATAATATTATATATATATATATATATATATATATATATATATATTGCTAATAATATTGTATATTTATCAATGAAGAAACGTTATTAAGATTTAGGACAAATGTTTATTGGGACTTTTGTACCACAGTGTTCTAGTTTATCAGTTTATATAATTTTACATAGACCTATTAACTAAAAAACTATTAGTTAATAGGTTTGTGTAATTTTACCATTTTTTGTCAAATACGAGATAAATAAAAATTAAAGTATTCTCATATATTCTCATAGTATTCTCAATTAAATCGGTGTCGGCTAACCAGTATAATTCCTGTATTACAGTTTTATGGCTACTATTGTTTTGTATGATCATTATTAATATTAATCGTAATTATTTTTACGATCTTACGTTATACCATAAACTTGGTTGCGTCATTTTTGTTTGATAATAAAACCATTTACCACCATAAATACAAATAAATAGTATTATTTGTTGATAATTTCAAATTAAGATAAATTGCTGTCGTGTGTCCAAATATTATAGGAATGTAAATACCGTATGCTTGACCCTTAATGACATTTGATTAATGCGAAATTTGTCATACATGTGCAAATAATCCGCTCTAATGTGTCACTTAATAAAAAATCTATGACAACCATACAATTGAAAAATTTTTCCAGTTAACCGATTAACCTTATTTGTAATATGTATACTATAAACTGTTAAGATAGTGTGATAGTATTCCTCGTTTTAATATTAACTTTACTCTAGTAGCTCAATAGGGCTAGAATACGGATAGCGTTGTCATGTAAAATACGTTCATACGATAATAAATTGGCAGACCTCATTTTCTTATAAATTGTATTTTCTCAAATTATTAATTCCTTATGTGAAATATTTTGCTCTCATTGGAAATTTGGTAAACAAACCATTATCTGTCCTGTAGTTACTTACGTAACATTCCTACCGTAAAATAACTTATAATTCCTTCATGATTCACGGTAACCAAACTTGGATCCGCCTACATTATTCAATATAACTATTAGAATCCAAGCCGATTTTTTATCTAGGTATACTGCCTAGAACTCTGACCATGGTTGTAACAGTGGTGTAACCAGGAGTTTTCTTCGAGGGAGGGGAGCTGGTCAATTTTTATACAGCGGTGGTTTAGATAGGTTCTTCCATAAGTTTAACATGTGGATGCTAGAGTAATATTTTATACATAGGCGTGTGCACGAGGTGAGCCGGGTGAGACCGACATTTTTTTGTGGCCATAGTAAAATTTATACTTACTATAGTAAAATGTCTATTTATGTTTTAATTTGTTCATGGAAATCAATTAATTGTATTTATATCATTTAATTTTAAATAATTTAAAGTTTTACATTTAACTTCAAAAATATGTATATGTATGTCTTAAAATTAACAATATTATACTTGATACTATGTATAGATATAAATACTACATTTATTTTATTTTAAAAAAGAATCTACTACGTTGAAGTGTTAGAAAAAAATTAGGGGTATTAATTTTATCCAGGCTCGACCGGAATTTGTAGTCTGCGCGCGCCTATGATTTTAGATTTCATATATTGATTTATTAATATCCTTGTATACTTTAAATAATTTGGATATTGTATTTTATAGTAATTTAAAATAAATTATTTTACACGTATTAATTATTAAAAAAAAAAATAATAATAAAAATAGGAATGATTTTTTTTTTTTTTAATAGAACATAATATGATAGATCAACATTTTGTATAATAAAACAAACTCCTACTTCATAAACATGAATATAATATGATAAATAAAAATAATTAACAATATCTATTTAATTACTTTTTAACATTTTTAATTAATTTCATTATGAAATAATAAAAAATGTAAGTGACAATTTTAACCTTTAAGCCTTTCCGCTATTAACAAATGTATCAAGTATTCGGTCATCTGAAATTTCAATGTCTATGAATAGATAATAATGCGAGTTCGACAGAGGCGGATTTATATTTTTCACGGCTAAAGGCACCAACAATTTCCCCCTCCTTTAATAGGTGAAGAAGTTATATTAACCTTTCTAAAATACCTAATCTAGATATTATATATATAAACGTATGTACCTACATCCATTTGAATTTTTAGACTATTTTTTTCGCTTTTATTAATTAGTCTATTTTTATTATTATTATTTATTTTTTATGAAAAAAAATGTCAATGGATGTCCACTAAATTTTAATAAACAATATTATGAACAGTTTAATATAACAGTTTTTCATAATAACATCATAAGATTATTAATATACAGTCGAAATAGTATTATAGTATAACAGTGTCGGTATCTATTTTCCCCCGAAATTCCGACGGTAACATAATAATAAAATGCACCCATTATTATACAATTATTTTTTGTAAATATAATGTAATTAATTTTCCAATTCTTTTTCATACTTTTAGTGTTAAAATTACATTTGGTAATAAAACACCTCAGAATTTACTACCCTCAAATTTTACCACCATAGGTAGCTGCCTACAGTACTTCATTGGAAATCTGCCTCTGGAGTCTGACAATTTTTGACTCTGAAGTTGAATTCGCAACCGATACACAATAATATATGGATTAAATGATAGCTGTAAAGTGTAAATACTAAAAATTTTAAATAACTTTTTTAGCGATTTTCATAGACCATTAACACGTTGACTGCCATACTAAAAATTTGTAATTTGCTATTATTGCTTTGTGGGATCTATAAACCCTACAGTATACTTTTACCATTGGGCTTTGTGGGGTCTTTGGACCCTAAAGATTAAAATCATTTTTAGGCCACGTAGGATTATGAAAACCGTCAAAATATACACTTTCATACGGAAACATATTTTGTCATGGCCTCCTGGGCAATTAATATAATACATTTCCGTTAAACAATATGTAAAGGTAAATGATGGGTCAATAGACCCCTCACGGCAGTCAACGTGTTAATATAATTTTCTTAAAATTCCGGGGGGAGGGCTGCAGCCCCCCTCAGCACCCCTTGACTACGCCACTGAGTTGTAACCTAACCTAACCGTTGGCTAGTTAATTTTATTTATGTAGTTTTTGGGCAGTAGGAAAAGATCCTTAGAAAAAGCCCTGTATTAATGTATAATTATTGTACAGTCAGTAAAATAATAGCATAATCATGGAGACAATTATTTAAGATAAATTAATTATAAAACAACAATAAAATAATTTCTTATTCCTCGGTAAGAAATTTAAAAAAAAAATAATAATAATATGTTACATAATGATATATTTCATATTTAATAAAAATTAAATTATAGGATATTATTAGGGTAGATAATATATTTATTTATTTTTTAAAACCAAAAACAATTATAGTTTTACAATTAGAAACATTATTTCAACAAATATAAAATAAAAATTTTAAATTGTGAAATATACGGAGTTTGTTCTTATTTTTTAATGGCAATATGTAATTTTCTATTTTTATAAGAAAAAAAATAAAAATTAGGTAAGTATTTTATTGATAAATATAAAAAATCAAGAAATATAAGTATCTTTATCAAATAATGACCTCACTGATTTAAAATGTTTATACTCTTTGAAAGTTAACCTTAACGTTAACATTTTAACAACATTACAAAAATTATCCATTGAAAATTGAATGAATTTAAAATAACATATTGAATTCGAATTTTTGTTTAGTACTAATTTGTTTTCAATCAATTTTGTTGTTTTAATTGAACAATTTTCTTATTCACTTAAATAATTTAATCAATTTCATTTTATTATGAGTAGTTTCAACTCGTTTATTATTTAAACTACTTTTGTTTTTGATACGAAAGTTAATAGGTTTTGTAATACAATTATGGCTAGTGCTAACATAGCAGGTTAAACATTATATTTTGTCTGATTATTTAAAATACTTGCATGTAACTTATATTATATTTTTTTTAAGTTCGAGGTTCTACGGGGTTATTATTATACCAAAGCACACCAACGTTCGACCCAGTTCCTAATTTTCTACCTGAAGTTACGTTATCATGCAAGTTTATGTTGTTTAGTCCAAATGGAAAACATTTTGCTTGGATTACAAACTCTAAGTATATTTTAAGATGATTTTATTTTAACTCTAGTGACAAATTGTTGTATATTTTATCAGGGTAACACTTGTTAAAACATCTGATTGGAAAACTATTGTTGATGCTGATTATCCAAAAGCTGCACAGTTAGCATATAGCAGCAAAGGAACTTACTTAGTTATTTATGAACCATTTATGAGTAAACATAAAATTTTTTATTTATAAATCATATTATCTATTAAAAATTCCTAATATTTTGTGGTAGGTAGATAGAAGAATTTCTATTATCTACCGCAAAATAATAAGTTGACTATTTTAACTACCTTTTATGACATATAATATTAATTTAATACTTTTTTAGCTACACCGAGTAACCCCAAAGGAAGTCCAAATGTGCATATAATTAAAACAGCTAATGGACAATTAGTGAAGAGTTTTGAATACAGAGATTATAAACTTTGGTAAAAAACATGTATTAATTAAAAAAAATACTTATATGATGTATAACATTTGTATTTTTCTCATTTTTCTTAAAAAAATAATTTATTAAAAACATTTTAATGATGAGTTTATCTTTAATTGTTGAAAGTAACTATTATTTATTATTATAGTTATTGATTTGGTTAAATTGTGGCAGTAATTTGACTCTTCAAAAATTATACTTTTTAGTTTTCTTTAAATTATTACTTATGTATAAAAAAAATGTCCTAGTATAATACTTATTGATTTACTTATTATTTTGTTATTATTAAATTGTTAATAATTTAGGACTCCACAGTGGTCTTCTGATGAAAAAATTTGTGCTCGATTCTTAAATGGTGAAGTATTATTTTACGAAAATTCCAATTTTGATAATGTTGTGCATAGAATTAAAGGACTGAAACTCAATAACTATTCATTATCCCCTGGAAATCAATCACTTAATGTACTTTGTTTTTTACCAGGTACTTCTATATATTTATTAATTTATTTTTCTATTGTAATTATATTTACTTACAGAGTAAATTATGGAAAAATTAGCTTTGAAAACTTATTTAAATAATTTTATAATTTATTTTCTTAATTTATAGTATAGTGGTCAACCAAATTTTGTCATTAGTGATAGCAATATAATCATTTACTGTTGTTGATTTGAAACTTAACCAACAATTGTTTTTATTTTTTTTTTTTTTTTAATATATAATTTTTATGATAAAAGAATCTCCTTCCCATTTAGGTTTAAAAAGTTCTATGGAATAATATTTTCAAGTTATATATATATATATATATACCATAAATAATTTTCTAATAAAATTTGTAAATAAATATACTCGTACTACATCAACTATATTATAAGTATACTATATTTTTTTATAAAATTAAAAGAATCTTATAAATTAACCTAAATAATTAAATTAAATAAAAAAAAAATTTTATAGTTATTAAAACTGATCATAAAATCAGTTATTAAAACTCTCATTTAATTGCTTGTAACTGAAAGTATTTATATTTTGTACAACCTAATACAATTTCTTTAGAAGATTTTTGGATTCAAATTACATATTGAAATATAAATTGAGATTTATTTAAAAATTTGTTACTAATAAATCTATTGTTAAAAATTGAAATACATAATACAATACATTTTGAATAATATTATTTTTTAGCTAAATCTGGCCCTTCAAATGGCCGACTATTTCAATATCCAGATTTTAACACTATTATCGCCAATAAAAGTTTTTTTCAAGTATAATAATCACTACTTACCTTTTATATTTAAATATTCAAAAATGTATTATTTTTAATTTTAAAATATTTAGGCTGATCGAGTAGAAATATTTTGGAACCAAAAAGGGACAGCATCCTTAATGTTAACCACTACTGATGTAGATAAAACTGGAGCATCGTATTATGGTAAACAGGGTCTACATTTGATTACTTCTAAAGGAGATACTTCTCAAGTTATAGTGAGTAAGTGATTTAATAAATCAAATTTAATGAAACACACACACATAAATTTATATATATATATATATAGTGGCTGTATGATATAGGTTTTATTGAAGCCAGCTGCTTCGTGACTAAATTGGGATGGGTGGATAATAATGTGTGACAAAAAAGTTTAATACATAATTTGCACATTAGACATAAAATAATATAAAAAAAATAAACATAAGTATTAAATGTTTCACTCTGATTCTAAAACTTTGACTTAGGGTAGGTACTCATTCTCATAATGGTTTCATTGGGAAATAAACTTCATGCTGCCATTGTATATATATTTAAATGTTATCATTTTTATATCTAATTTTTCAATAATAAATTTAATTGTTTAGATAAAGAAGGACCTTTGTATAATGCTGCTTGGAGTCCATCATCAAATGAGTTCTGCGTTGTTTATGGTTTTATGCCATCTAAGGCAACTTTATACAATATGAAATGTGACCCAATTTTAGAATTTGGAACAGGAACTTTTAATTCAATCTACTATAATTCATTTGGGAATAATATCCTTTATATAATTTATTAAATTTGAATGAATTAATTAAATTAATAACACAAACATTTCTTTAACAATCTAAATACTTCTCCTCTTAGCTGGATTTGGTAATGTACAAGGAAATGCAGAATTATGGGATATTAATGGTAAAAAAAAGATTAAGAAAATAGAAATACCTGATACAACATTTCTGCAATGGTCACCTGATGGTCAACATTTTTTAACTGCTACAACAGCACCACGTTTAAAAGTGAATAATGGTTATAAGATATGGCATTCTAGTGGTGCATTATTACATGAGAAACCTTGGGGCAAAGATGAACTATTTCAAGTTGTTTGGCAAAATTATCCTCAAGGAACTTTTAAAACACCTACTATAGTTTACAAAGCTGTTGAAGGAATCACTTCTAGCCAACCAATTGGTAATTTTATTGTATATCTTTTATTATTTAATTTTGTTATTGTATTTTTTAATAATTTATAGCATCTAAACAAGTTTATCGACCACCGCATGCTCGCAATTCTGATTTTAAACCAACTAGTTTACATGAAGAACCATCAGATACAAGTATGATATTCACTATTTATAAATTCTTAGATATTTTATTGAACTATGCATATCAAATTTTTCTCCATTGTGTAAATTATGTTTGTATTCAGAAATAATAAATAGTGATATTGGAAGAGCAATTCTGAATATAGATATTTATAGAATATGCATTGTTAATTAATATTAAATGTTGTAAAATTCTCAATTCATACTCCTAAAATTCAATGTATAACAAATTAGATGTCTTCTTAGATATTAAAAAAAAAAAAAATTAGTAAATTTATATTATTACATTAAATCAATATTTAATTACAAGTTCTAGGACTGATTTATATAGCTATATTAAAAAAATATACAACATTTATATTGCATACTTAAATGACAATTTTATTACATTTGGTTGTTAAATTGTTTTTTACTAACTTAATAAGTTATCAGTGGTGTAGTGGAACGTATATGTGGTTATGCAGGGTAAAATGATGATACGTATACTTATTATATAATTTATAAACTGGTAAAAGAGTATATTAGGTATTCTATAAACTTCATAGCTATGAACTATATTTAGTATTAAAACATTTTAAATTTTATACATTTATTTTTTATTTTAAAATTAAAATTATTGTATAGAAATATAGTTTAAAATGCCATTACACTGTTGCAAATTGCTATAATAATCTTAAATTGTATTTTATTGATTTTAAATTTGAATATATTTTGTTAGTTAATCTTATTGCTCAAAACCAAAAAAAAAAAAAAAAAGTAGGAATTAACCCCACCTGCCTTTTTCTATTACAATTGGTATATATTCAATTTTTTTTAACACACTGTTAGTTATGATTCAAACTTTTTATAGAAAATCAATCAAAAGCTTATTTGAAGATGAAAAAAAAGCGTGAAGCAAAACGTCAAGCTAAACAACTAGAAATAGTACATTCAAATAATGTACAGAATACTATTACGAAAACTAATGATCCCATAGATAATGAAAAACAATTAAGGATTAAAAAAATTCAATCTGTACGTTTTAAATTTTTATTTATTTTTATTTTATATTAATATTAATTAATAAGATTTTATGGTGTTTGACTATTAAAATTGTTAATTTATTTTATAGGATTTAAAAAGTATTAATCGTCTTAAAACTATACAGTCTTCTGGAAAAGAATTGGATAAAAATCAAACAGCAAGATTAAAACTTGAAAATGGTTTATTAGCTGAACTTAAACAATTACAACTGTAAATAATATAAAATAAATTATATTTTAAATTATGAACAAATAAATTTATTATATTAAAAAGTTTTAATTTTCATAAAAAATGGTGTTAGTTATCTGTATAAACACAAAAATAATGCTACTTGTATTGTTTTACTAATGTTAGTATGTTAGATTGAGTAGTTCGGTTGAACAAAGTCCTGGGTAATATAATGTTTTTACATGTTTTTTTTATTCCATTTAAACTTGAGCAGTGTTACAAAAACATCATCATCAATACTGTTACAGTTTTTGTTTTACATTTTATTAAATTTTTAATATTTGTTTCAGAGCAACTTTAAGTTGTAGTACATTAGAATTATTATTTACTCCGAATCGAGCAAACAAAATTTCAATATGATCCTGTGAAAACTTTTAAGTTAATATATATTTATAAAGTGGATTTTGATTAAATATTTAACTTGGCTATTGCTAAACCTCATACTAAACCAATTACAAATAATTTTTTTTTAGTATATAAAACCAATAGTATTACTTTTATTTTTAACTTTTAACATAAATAGATAATTGACTAATGGTATAACAGATTCTAAATTTAAATTGTTTGAAGAGTAAATAGGGGATTTTATTCCTTTACCAAAGGGATTCCTGGAGTTTGAAAAATCAAAAATATGATTAATAGTCTGACAAAATTTAACTGTTGCATCTACATTTTGAAATCTTTACATACCTACTTTCATACTTATATCTTTCAAAAAAGTAATGCATCTGCTGTAGAGCTACTTAACCTCAATTTTTTTTATGCCATATGATTTTAGTTTATTTTATTGGCTAACTTTAATGTAAGTTATTTTTGAACTTCATATAATTTTTCAAAATAATTCTAATTAATAGCCCCTTTAGCAGATAATGTGTATCTTTAATTGTGGTTCAAACTGCAATTGTAACAGAAAATAAAAGTATTAAAACGGGTTTACACGAAACGTGAGCCACGATCGTCTTTGAGTCAACTGCTTTATCCACCATCTTCTTTTTAACTTCAATTTGTCAGTTTCTGTTGTTTTAATTGTTTGACTAATACACGGAACAAAACAGCACATGATTCCGACCACTAACGATTCCATCTTACTAAATAGTAATTGCGTTCACGTGTACATACCTTCACGATTCGTGTTATACTTTTTGAAAACACGCTCGTGAGTCAAAACTTGAAAGATCGTGAAATATAATAATGTAAAGTTTACACTGTAAACCCGCCTTCACAATTACCACAGATAAGAAGATATCAATTACTATCTATAATCGTGGTTTAATCCTTAATTATAAATACCACGGCCTTAAACCCTAAACCACCGATATCGGCAGGTTAAACTTGATTTAAAATTGTATCTGCAATTTCATTGGTTGTGATTAATAATGTCGATAACAATATAGATAATCTATGGTTTTACAGGTAGAGACATGATATCGAAAGAAAAGTATCGATACTTTCACTTGGTAACGAATGGAATGAAAATAACGAAACGTAACGACCGGTATGAGTATCGAAAAAAAATATTGATCCTTTTACTTAGTCATCGTAACAAATATAATTAAAATATTGATAACAATAAAATATGAAAACGACCTATATGAATAAGTATCAAATGAAAAATTATTTTTATATTTTAAAGTTTTCTTTCTCCAAGTTAAGGATGAATTCAAAATGTTAGTATATCTTAAAATATGCCATTTTACTAATATTTAATTAAAACTAGTTATGGTTCATGAACCACAGATAAAAATGCTGTATATAAACAAATTTTTAATTGTTTCCACCAGGTACCTATATCATTATTTGTAATTTATATTTCATCTAATCGGTATATAAATCAGTAAATCTAAACATATTGTATATTTTGTGCAATACTTTTTACTATTTCCATGGCTAAAAATGAACTCAGTATACATAATTTATGATAAAAAGGTTTATTATAAACCTATTGACACTATTGTATTGTGGACTGTAGTTTCTGGTTCATGGAAATAACAAATACAGTCGTATAAAGTATAGACTTTAGTATGATGACCGAATTTTATAAACAAATTCTCTACCATGCGCGCAAATAATTTTTCTAGAAAAGAATTATTCTTTGATACCATTCGACCATTCGAGTACTTTTGATTTTTGAACCATTATGGCAGTTAATAAGTGATTTAATGCTATACATTCGATACCAGTATTTTTTTATCGATACAAGTAAAGTATTGATAGATACAAAAAGTACTTGTATCGAAAGAAATGTATCGATACTTTTTTAATATCAGTAGTATCGCAACATCCATAATCACGAGGGCTCTTCTGTAAATTGTTGTCTTTTCGTGAACACTGATAGTATATTTATGTTGCTGTGATGTTTCAAACACC